TGTGAGTGTTCCCTGGGTGCAGCCAGGATGGAGAGCATTGATCCAACCCGACTTACTTATTGGACCAGGGATCACCTTCCTTATCTCCTGTTGGTCCTAAATCAATGGCCATTGCTGTCCCGGGTGGAGCCCACTCCCTGACACTGGATTTGGGGCCGAGCCGCTGCCCTGGGTCACCCCATAAGGGAATTACTCTGGGCCAGCGGGACCCAGGATGACCCTGCCCTGGCCTCACTGGTCAGCAGGGACATCAGTGAGTCCAGCGTCCACTTTGTTGAGGCGCCACTGCCAGGACTCCCAGGACTAGGTATGTCTAGATAGACAAATGCATCACGGATTGCATTTCCTTGCCCCAGCAAGGTCCAACCTTCAAAGGATAATATTCTAAAGTGAGCCTGGGGGCTTTAGGGAGGCTGACTCACCTATGAGTGTTGAATGGGAACCACATTGGCCTCAAAGGTGTTGGTGGTCAGTGTGGAGGGACCCAGATAATAGTTGTCAGACAACACAGGGGACCCTGAATTCTGAGGACTCAGCCATCCATGTAGTGATGTCAGCGCAGAGTGCTTGAGCTGTTATTGAATGTCTGCTTGGTTAATAAGGGGGCATGCTGTTTTGGTCCAAAGCTAAGTATTCCTCATCAGTCATTAAAATATGCAAAGACCTCTGCTTGTTAACTGTGCCCAATGGTTAGGAGTCTGCACAGTCATGGACTTGGTTTATGAGGCAGACTGCAGTGTGAAAAGTGCCTAGTGAAGGCTGGCACCTATTCTTAGCCTTCCCTTCTATTTGGGGCTGAGGATAGAAGGCAAGGGAAGAGGTTCTTACACAGCCTGGAAGGATGTAGCGGGTGGTAGGGGGCAGAGATGAGCGACCACCACAGGGCAGGCCCTTTGTGGCAGGAAGGGCAGGGATCACGTCTTTGTTTTCCTGGTGCCATATGACAGTTTCTTTTCTTTTTTTTTTTCACTTTTTATTTTATATTGGCGTATAGTTGATTAACCCTGTGATATGCCGGTGGACAGCATATCCACCAGTCATCATGTATACGTATGTATGGGTCTCAGCCATACATATACACGTATCCGTTCTCCCCCAAACCCCGTTCCCATCCAGGCTGTCACGTAACACTGAGGCGAGTTCCCTGTGCTATTTCGCGGATCCTTGTTGGTTATCCATTTTAAATATAGCAGTGTATACATGCATATGATGGTTTCTTTATAAGGATCCGTGGTAGTTCCTTCCAAGCTCTATATATGCATCTCAAAGAGTGTATAGCTTGGTTCTGTTCATGAAGACGGGAGGCACGTTTGCTGAATTTAAAGGAACAGTTGGGCATTTGAGTTTTGGATTTTTTTCCCGTTAAGGAATCCAGACCTTAAGAGTGCCTCTGTGTGTGAGAGAGAGAGAAAGGGAGAATTTATAGCTGTTCAACTCATGAAGAGAATATCTGATTTAATAGCTTTTAGAAAACAAATCCTTATAAATACGTAGAAAGATGTATCCTAATTTGATTATTTTTCAAAGAGCATGCTGGCTGTGGCTTTTAGATTAGGAAATTGTCAGATTGTGTGCTTGTGGGAATGGACCTAGTTTTCTAGGGTGAAACCCAGGTCTGAATGCTGGACGGGAGCCTCTGCGCCCCAGGGTGCCCCGGGGGGCTTCATGTGTCCCCTGTGGGTTCCCTTGGCTTTTGCATCTGGAATACTGGTCTCACCATTTTTGAGGTGGGAGGAGGGGCAGCCCCAAATGCCAGAGGGGCTTGAGGGATTGTTAATGGAATTCCCTGCTGGGGGTCCCACAGATTCCCCCTTGAATATGAGCTCCTTGAGGACAGGAGTCAAGCCGGGGTCAGCTTTACAGTCCCAACCGGCCAGGCTCGCTGTTGGTGTGGTCGGGAGGGTGGGCAGAAAGCACTTGCCTGGCCTTTGCTGCAATCTCAGTTGTATCTTTGCTGCCCAGGGCTGACTGCAGGGCTTCCTGGTTGACCTCTGTCAGGATGATTGAAGGAAGGGAGAGCTTGAAGCTGTACAGTCATGGCAGTCACCCCGGTTGCAGGTTGAGCCAAACATCAAATATCTGTTCACCTGTCACCTGATGATGCTATTCTAGAAAGGAAGCCTTGGAGTTTGATGGAATTTGTTGGGATTTTGAGGATCCGAAATCCATACACTTATTTCTGCCTGTGAATAGGTTGTCTAATGACAATCTAGAGGTGCATACCTAAAATAGTATTTCACTTTTGATTTAAAAACTCAGAACATTATCCAGAAGTAGACAGAGTAAATTACCATTTTAATCACAGCCATGGAGGAAATGTTGGTATTAAGTGAGAAGCAGCACACAGAAGTGTGGGGACACTAATTTTATGGGTGGCCGGTGTATCAGCACACGTGACACCAAGTTAGTTCTGCGTAGAAGGAGGGGTAGGAGTGGAGGGAGCAGGTGTCCCCGGTTGACTCAGGCACGGGGTGTTTGGAGCGACCTCACCACTGGCTGGGGTTGGAGGAGCTGAGAGAGCCGAGCTGGCCCCAGCCAGCTGAGCGGGGAGGGTGGTGGGTCAGGGTGCAGCCCCAGGGGCAGGAACTGGAGTGATAATGAGAACCCAGGAGCTCCTGGTCACGAACTGTCCTGAACCAAGGACTTTATGTCTCTCTCTTTCTTAGTTTTTCTCATCTCCCCATTTCATAGATGAGGAGACTGAGGCTCAAGGATTAAGAGGTTTTCTAAGGTCCCAAAGCTTCCAGACTCCAGGATTGATATCTGAGTCTGTCTGCCCCAGCACACATGCTCCTTGTAGCATCACACCGTCCCTTGGGTGGGGAGCTTGGCGACGCCTATCTCTGAGAGCTCTGGTGGCTGGGAGTGCGACTAACTAGGCCCCCATCCCAGCCTGTGACTACATTCCAGCCAGACCTGGCACCCGGAGGAACTGCATCTCAGTGGATGAAGTGGACCCTTCCTTCAACCAGAGGGTCACAGGAGTCCTGGTGAGCCGAGTCCACAGACCCATGGGGCTGCATAGAGGGGTTCTGCTTGCTCAAGAATTGGCTTCCTTTCAAATCCCCACCTATGAAATCAGTTCTCCAACCCCTCAGTTAAGACCAGCATCTCCCCAAGGCCATTGCCTCCAGTCTGGCTGACTGTTGGAAATCTGGCAACGTTAGAGAAATGGAAATTCAGTGTAAGTTAACTGCAGAGTAAAACTGCATATCTTACAAAAGGTCATCATGTCATGAAGACACTGAAGGTGATGTCGGAGTGCTTCTGGTTCTCACATGTGGACGGACAAGGGTCACTGGAGAGAAAAGCAGGGAGAACGTGCTGAATGTTTTGGAAAGGACTTGATGTCAAAATATGAAGATGGGACTTGTCTGGTGGTCCAGTGGCTAAGACTCCACACTCCCAATGCAGGGGGCCCGGGTTCAATCCCTGGTCAGGGAACTAGATCCTGAATGCCGCCTTAAAGATCAGAGATCCCATATGCTGCAACTAAGACCCGACATAGCCAAATAAATAAGTAAATATTTTTTTAAAAGATGAAGACAGGCACTGAGAAAATCGATGAAGCCCTCAAACGATTTGCAAAAATGACCTTTCTGATTGTCTTATTAAAAATAAAACGTGAAACAAAAAGGTAGCCACGTGGTTGGTCAGGAACAATACACACAGAACAAAGCAAAAAGCATTTCATTTTTTTCTTTATGAGAAATTAGACCTTTGTTATAATTGCATGTTCTTAACCTAAATGTTGTCAGGTGATATAAAATAGACTTAGCCTTCTAATTTTAGTCCTTTCCAAGGTAAAGACTGAATCAGATTTTTTTCTGATCTCCACCATCCCCCACCATCAGCCAAATCACCTGTTGTACTATGAAGTGATGGTCTTTGTTCAAGTGGATTTACTATGAAATTGCCAACCGTCACCCAACCTGGTCCCTGTGTCAGATATTCTGAGTTATCTAGGACCCATTCTTATTTCAGTTGGTCAAAAGAAGATTAAGGAGGTTTGGGCAGCTGGTTTTCAGTTCTTTAGTATCTAGAAAGCATTTGTGTTTTGCCTAGTTATGTCCTGATATATATTCTTAATGGTCGCTGAGAAATTCTCCCAGGGGAATGATGTCATCTGTGTTTCTAGTTGCTTTTGAAATCATGGCCATCCAGAGACCATAAGTTTTGTTTGTTTTTGTTTTTCATCTTTTGGCTGTGCCACAAGGCATGTGGGACCTTAGCTTCCCAAACAGGGATGGAACCTGAGTCCCCTGCATTGGCAGCATGGAATCTTACCTACTTGACCACCAGGGAAGTCCCTGAGACCATAAGTTTTATTTATTGCCTCCTAATGATTTTGATATTTTATTTAGTATGGTTTTAAAATTTAATATTTATCAGGTAAAGCTGGTTCAGATCACTGATATTTCAATATTTAACAGTATTTTAATAGTAAAAACATATCTAATGCTTTAGAAAATGTGCACGCAGTACCAATGGGCTTCCCAGGTGGCTCAGTGGTAAAGAATCCACCTGCCAATGCAGGAGATGTGAGTTCAATCCCTGAGTCAGGAAGATCCGCTGGAAGAGGAAATGGCAACCTACTCCAGTATTCTTGCCTGGAGAATCCCATGGACAGAAAAGCCTGGCGGGCTACAGTCCATGGGGTCTGAAAAGAGTGGGACACAACTTAGCGACTGAACACAGGCACACACACAGTACCAAACTTATATGCAGTAAGAGGCACCTTGTCTGGTTTTGTTATTTGGCAGCATAAAATGTCTCCATCACGCCTTGTTTCTTCCCAGGGAGAACGTCAGGATTCAGCAAGGCAAGATGGGCTTGGCATTCAGGGCATAGTCCGGGAATATGACAGCCTCTTAAAGACACCTTTTCTCTGATTTTTTTTTTAATAGACTATTTTTTAGAACAGTTTTAGCTTTATGGAAATTCCTGATTCATTTCATGATGCAATTTTAACACCTAGATTTTTTTCCCTTTCTCTGCAGACGTCGCCTCATCTCCCAGCGATCATCCTTGGAGACCCTGGAAGACATTGAGGAGAACGCCCCTCTACGGAGGTCAGTTTTCTGGTTGCATTTATGTGTATGTGGATGGCCTGCAATACAAGAAGGAGGCCAAAGTTTGCTCTTCTTTTCCAGTTCTTGATTTACAGAATTAATTTCTGAAAATGACAATCTGATCCCCAGACTCAGTTTGGAAACCCCAACCCTTTGGAATATTAGAAGGAGAGCACTGTGAAATCCCAACCATGTACCAGAATAGCCCAGTCTGCATGTGAATTCGGGTGCTGTGGCCCTTTCTTTTTGAAAATGGTTGCTTGATGGAGAAGAATGCATCCCTGTTCTGGCTTTCCCAGAGGGGACACAGGCATTGCAGTCTCCTACTTGGTTAACAGGGGCGGCTACGCTCCTCCACGGTCAGGTGGTGGGGACAAGGTTAAGGCAGCTGTGAGTGCTCTCTCGGGGCTGAAAGCCTTCTGTTTCTCCCTCCAGATTAGAAAAGTGCTTTCAAGCATCTTTTTTTTGGCGGGGAGTGGGGGCGGGGGGGGCGAGTGACAGCAGTTGCGGAGCTGTGCCTGGCTTCTGACTGGCAGCTCTCCTTCCTCTCATCTGTGCTGGGTCCCCCTGGCCCTCCTGGAGCGCAGGGGACCCACACCACGTCCCCCTCAGTCCTCACTGCAGCCCCAGCTGGGCTGGCCGGTGGAGGAGTGGCTGAGGGAAGACGGGGTCAGCGCAGGGGGCCAGGGCGGGGGGCGAGTAGGATGGGATGCTGCGGATTTACCGGGGATGCTGGCAGGCTGTGAGGGGGCGTGTGCTCTCACACCCTCACACAGCTCCTCGGAACCCACATTTTCACCCGTCCTGCTTTGACCTCTAGCCAGGACTCGAAAGTCCCTGGCTCGTCCCTTTGAGCCTGGAGGGTGCTGAGATGGAGGGAGAGTCTCCCCCTGGAGCCGTCCCCTTGCCTGCACAGAGCCTCATTCTCAGGCCACAGGTCATGTCCACGACCACCTGCATAAAGCTTGGAGCATAGACAGGCCTAGGATCTGCTCCGAAGCATTCGTGACTGTGAATCTCGTCACCGATATCATTCTAAAGAGAAAGTCAGGGCCAGACAGTCAGATTTCCACTTTTGAGGACTTTTTGAAAACGTCCAAGGGACTTCCCTCATGGTTCTTTGGCTAAGACTCCATGCTCCCGATGTAGGGGGGCCCAGGTTTGATTACACAACCAAGACCTGGCACTGCCAAACAAATAGTCAATAAAATAAATATTGAAAAAAAGAAAATGTTCATAACTTCTGGGACCACGTTAGGCTGATGGCATGTGGCTGTGATCCACGTGGCCCAGGGGCAAGTGTTCTTCTGTCCGTCTCTATTAAGTGGCCTAAGTCAATCAGCGAATGCGGAGGAGAAACATCCTCAAGTGGCACCGAGTGGCTTCGGCATTTGAGCACAATTGATGCCAATCAGCGAACAGAACTGCAAAGGCCCTGGAGTTTGGAGAGGCTGCAGGAAGCATGGCCATTCGAGCAATGTGGTAGCTGTGACCAAGGCAACCAGGTTAAAAAAAATCTCAGGCTCTAAATGTCACCTCCTCAGGGATTCCTCTGGTAAAGAGCGGGCAGAGGAGGAGCTGGACGCTGTTCCTGGTCAGGTACCCTCTCTCAGCATCGCCCAGGCTGGTCCTCTGTCCTCTGGCTCTCAGGCCTATGATGGCACAAACGCTCAGGGTAAAAACAGAATGGCTGATTTGCCTTAACTGTAAATTCATCCAGCCTCTACTTACAGAGTGCTATACTTAATTTCCTACAAATCTTGTGTAAATAAAAAATTTAAAAAATAAGTAAAAATCAAGGGAGTTGGGCAGTTTAAGAAGTCTAGATTTTCCCTAGTGGACTTTCCTTAATTAAAAAATTTCTGATGTTTACCATTGAAACAGACAGAGAAATCAAACTCATGGTTATTGAAGGAGGTTGTCTTGTTGTTGGACATGCCAAGTCATGTCCAACTCTTTTGACTGTAGTCTGCCAGGCTCCTCTGTCCATGGGATTTCCCAGGCAAGAATGCTGGAGTGGGTTGCCATTTCGAGCTCCAGGGGATCTTCCTGACCCAAGGATTGAACCCATTGGCAGGCAGATTCTTTACCACCGAGCCAGCAAGGAAGCCCCAAAGTGGGTATGGGAGGGATAAATTAGGAGTTTGGGATTAGCAGATACAAACAACTATGTACAAAGTCAACAAGATCCTATTGTGTAGAGCACAGGGAACTGTAGTCAGTATTCTGTAATAAGCCATAATGGAAAAGAATAAATACACACACACAGATATATATGTGAATCACTTTGCCATATACCAGAAACTAACACAAAGTTGTAAATCAACTATACTTCGACAAAAAAATTCTGATATGTACTTAGAAACTTGTTCCTAAGAAATAAAAATCGCAAAAGGGGCAGTAGTTTGGGAGTCAGGGGATTTGAATTTTTGGCCCCATTCTTATACTAACTGCCTGCATGGCTTTGGAAATTCATTTACTTATGTGGAGGCCTCCGTTTTCCCACCTGTAAAATGGAAGGGATAAATTGACTGATCTCTGAGGTCCTTACCAGCCTTTCCATTCTGTGAAATGAAAATACCAGTAATGACGCCAAAGTGTTTTGGGAACTGCGGGGGTGGAAGGCTATTAGCCCAACTTGCTTTTAAAGTCAGCACTCAGAACAAACTGCTCCAAGGCATCTATTAAAAACCTTTTGCATAATTAGGTGTATCCTGTAATCAGTGCTAACAAGAAAGAGCTAATCTTTCATTAAATTAGTTTTTAATTTAATTCCATCCTAATTTAATTTTGCATCACTTAAAATGTATGGTTTTAAATGGGTATTTACACATTAATGCAGGTGGTTTTGAAATTAATTTCTTCCATGCTTAACCTGCTTTAACCTGAGTGCTCTGTCTTCCGGTTTCCTTGGCAATTGTTGCCAACGCCACAGTTCTCTTAAAGTGTTTCTTAGGTCAGAGGTGGTGATAGATGAATGCTTTAAAAACACACACACACACAAGACATCAAATAGCTTGCTGATCCAAGGGCTAGATCAGTAGCATTGTTGTTGTTGTGTAGTCACTCAAGTGTCCAGCTCTTTTGTGATCCCATGGACTGCAGTGAGCCAGGCTCCTTCGACAGTGTCCACGGAATTTCCCAGGCAAGAATACTGGAGCTGGTTGCCATTTTCTTCTCCAGAGGGATTTTCTTGACCCAGGGATCTAACCTGCATTGGCAGGCAGATTCTTTACCGCTGAGTCACCGGGGAAGCCCTTTGCAGTTAGAATTGTATGCTAATATAGAAATAAAGCACCTCTTCAGTTATCTTTTGGGGCCTTTCCCAGGTGGAGCTAATGGTAAAGAACCCACCTGCCAATACAGGGACGCAGTTTCGATCCCTGGGTTGGGAAGCTCCCCTGGTGTAGGAAATGGCACCCTACTCCAATATTCTTGCCTGGAGAATCCCATGGACAGAGGAGCTTGGCGAGCTACAGTCCACAGGGTCACAAAGAGTTGGACACGACTGAAGCGACTTGGCAATCAGTTACCTTTTTAAAAGTTCTGCTTTTCTCTTGCACATCACAAGTTAGTTGCTTGTATCCACCTTGAACTCCAAGACTTGAGCCTTAACCGTGAGAGCCTTTAGATTGGGGTTTTCCACATTGTTTGGTGGTCACCTGGTCTCCCAGAAATAAGAACCCAGGCTGTCTGTTAGGTGTCCAGAAAAACCTCTGTTCGGCTCCCGCAGGTGTGGCAGCCATCACCCCCGGCCCTGGTCCAGCCTGTCTGGGTTGAGGGGTGCCGCCTGCTGTACCATTCAGTGATTACCAGTGCCAACACACACCTGTGCCCTTTTGCCAACTTCCGGCTCCAGCTGAAAGCTGAAAGATGTTGTATCTAAATCCGAGGGTAACAGCACCTCTTTCTGCAAGCATGGAGACTGGGAGCAGCTCAGAGCCATCGGAAGGCATCGTCACAGTCCAGCTCTTAGCCCACTGCCCTCATCTAGACCTGGGGGCCTGGAAACTCCACATCTGGTTGGGGGCAGTTGGGGCCGGGGGGGAGGGGCACAGGGTAACCATGTAAGGATGCTCCTGAACTCCTGTCCAGAAACCAGTGAGAGCACGCATTTATGCCTTCAAGGATCCTCCTCTCTCCAGTGACTACATATTTCTAGAACTTTCTGCCATGTGTTAGAGAGACAGTGGGGGACCTTAAGTGGCCTGCAGACTCTAACGGTCATTCTGGGGGTAGAACTGAGACCCTTCAAGGTGTTGGGTCTGCTTCTGAGTGCGGCCTCAAGAAGGCAGAGTGAGGCTGTAGCTCCTTGGACCCCAGGAAGGCTGGATCTGGGTTTGGAAGCTCAGAGTAGGAAGGGGGACCGTTGAGTGTCTTCCCTGATTCAGACCCTTCCTGAGGTCCACAGGAAGCATCTATAGAATGCCCTCAGGCAGGGCACTGCCTGTCTTTACAAGAATCTATTTGAAACCAAGACATCAGGACTCTTAACCAAGGCTGCAGGTTTTCTTTTTTTTTTTTTTTTTTTAATACTTTCTTGGCCACATCGCTCAGCAGGTGGGATCTTAGTTCCCCAACCGGGGATCAGATACCCCACACCTCATGGATTGGAGGCTCAGAGCCTTAATCACTGGACCACCAGGGCAGTCCCAGGGCTGCAGTTTTAAGAGTATAGGAGGCAAATAGTAACAAAATATGCACCCTTTGTAGTTAAAAGTTTTAATAATAATCACAACACTTGAAATGTGTATATGAATATTTACATGTGTGTACATATGGGCCTTCCCTGGTAGCTCAGACAGTAAAGAATCCACCTACAATGCAGGAGACTTGGGTTCAATCCCTGGGTCAAGAAGATCCCCTGGAGCAGGGAATGGTTACCCACTCTAGTAGTCTTGGCTAGAGAATTCTGTGGACAGAGGAGCCTGACAGGCCGTAGTCCACGGGGTCCCACAGAGTGGGTTTCCCTGATTGCTCAGACTGTAAGGAGTTCACCTTCAATGCCAAAGACCTGTGTTCAAGCCCTGGGTTGGGAAGATCCTCTAGAGAAGGGAATGGCTACCCACTCCAGTATTTTGCCTGGAGATTTCCATGGACAGAGGAGCCTGGTGGGCTACAGTTCATGGGGGTTCCAAAGAGTCAGACACAACTGAATGACTAACATACACACACATATGTTTGGACATGAACTTCTGTATTTGAACATGTCACTTGACAGTGTATGAAGCTCTGACAGAAATCTTCACATGTAATTCTCACAAGAGCTCCAGGGAATATTACTACTGATAGGTCACTAGGATTGGTAGTGAGTTGGAGTGGATGCTGGCAGGGCCACTCGAGGTGTGGCCATGAGCTGTGGACACTTCACTCCGGTGACGTGGACATGAGTGGCAGGGGTCTTCCTGCCTCTAGACCCAATGCCCAGGAAACCCCCTTTCCTAATGAAAGTCACCAGATACCTGCTACCATGTCATTGCTTTGACCACTCATTCACTTCACTGTATTTTTTCCAAGATAAATTCTATTTTAAGGTGCTGTTCTTATGGGGAAAAAATAAATAATTTTCAGTGCTCCCTAAGAAGGGTCTTCTAGGAAGATTGGCCCTTACTGGAGGGCAGATAAGGGGGTTTCAGGAGAATGTACACCCTGAGGTCTAGACCGGGGCCGTCCCCTAATTTCCCTTCAGGCCCCTGCCTGCGTGCGTGCTATGTCGCTTCTGTCGTGTCCGACTCTTTGCGACCCCCTGTGCTGTAGCCCGCCAGGCTCCTCTGTCCCTGGAATTCTCCAGGCAAGAATACTGGAGTGGGTAGCCATTCCCTTCTCCAGGGGATCTTCCCAACCCAGGGATCGAACCCACGTCTCTTAATGTCTCCTGTATTGACAGGAGGGTTCTTTACCATTAGTGCCACTTGAGAATCCCCCTTCAGGCCCCTGGGGGAGAGTAAAGATCAGAGCTTAGGGGCAGGTGTGTGACTCTGAACATTCCTTAACCCTCTGCCCATCAAAGGGGCAGCCTTCAGCTTTACCTTCTCTTTGGGTCACCTTGCTACTCCCTTACCTGAAGCCTCCAGGTTCAGAACTGACTGAACTCAGGTTACAGCCCAGCTCAGACATTCACTGTGGCTTTGGGAACCTGGGCACCACTTCTTGGGACCCACATCTGATGTGATCCCAGAAACCAGCCTTCGGGATCCATGGTCAGAAAGGTTTAAGTAAACAAAAAATTTTGGCAGCAAAAATCCAACTAGAGAGGACATTGCTCCCTTTCTCAAGACAAGTCCAAACTTCAGATTCTCATTTGTTGGGATTTTGCTTTTTATCCTAGCTGTTGTTGCAGTTATGTGTCTTAGAATTTTGCCAGGTAACTTTGAAAAAATATACACAAATAAAACCTCTGTTCTGTTATTCCTGCAGTGCACGCACATGTCATATATTCTAGGGAAAATTAATTAGAATCCAAGTCAATTTGTTCAACAAATATTTATTTAAAATTTATCTAAAAAACCAAAAACAAACAGCCACTAGGCAGGTCTCTGATTCTCATTCAAAGTAAAGCTGTGACTTCCAAGCATAGCCATGCTGAGTGTTGAGGCAATCGTCCAGGTGATTCAAGCCAGAATCCTGCTATAGAAGAAAAATGCTTCAGGGTTGTTTTTAAACTGAATTTGCCAGTGTTTTTTCCTGCCTCTGAATTCGTTGAATTTGCAGTTTTCCGTTCCCGATACCCGTGTTGATACGGGAAGATTCTTTTTAAGATGACAGGAATGAATAATGTCTTTGGAATCCACGTAGGTTATGTTATTGCAATTGAGGACAATAGTTTTCATTAGCTGGCTCTTCAGAGCCATATAAATTCTTATCAGTATTATCAAGGAAGTTGTCTGTCTGTTGGGTGGTTTTTTTTTGTTTTTTTTGTTTTTTTAAGCTTCCTCGCTTCCAGCCGCAAGGTCCTCGTTATCCTTGGGGTGACTCAAACCACTTGTCTGGTCTTTCCTTCCTGTCTTTGTGTGGAGATGTCTCAGCTATCCGAGACCAACTGACTGTTTTTGAAATGGCTTTGTTTTTCAGATGTCGAACTCTCTCAGGTTCCCCCAGACCAAAGAACTTTAAGAAGATTCATTTTATCAAGAATATGCGGCAGCATGATACCAGGAATGGCAGGTACCGTACTAACTGAAGCTTTGGGAGGGGGCTGGTCCCATAGGGAAGAAAAGGGGGATCCTTTGCATGGCCAAACCTCACGGAGTGAAGCCCACTGTAGAAATGAACATGATGTCATGTAACCTTCCCAAACAGACCATTCTTTCCACCCCTCTCCCGCCAGAATCATGCAAAGAAGTCTGTAGAAAATGCTGCTCTCTAATGGTAACCCAAGGCTTGGTTTTTTTAGACTAAAACTGCATTTTCAATAGTACTGAAATATATTTTTATTAGGAAACTTTGAACAGAAAAACAGGTGAGTTTTTTTTGCGAGGGTTTGTCGGCATTTCTTTTTCTGCTTTGTTGGGTTTTGTTTTCTATTTTCACCAGGGTTCTGTGCTCTGGTCAAACATCCTGCTAGATCTTGGGCCTAAAGTCGGGTTTGGCTCTCTCTCTATGATGATGTTCATTAAGAGAGGAGGATCCTGATTTTGCCAGCAGATTCGTCCCGGGCGCCAGTTCAGACTCCTGGGCCAGCTGACGTCTGGGAGCATGTGTTTCTCCATCAAAGAGTTGTTCTTTGGGAAAACTCTATTAAATGAAAATTATGGTTAACATGTATATGTTGTTGTTCAGTCGCTCGGTCGTGCCCGACTCTTTGCGACCCCATCGACTATAGCACTCTGGGTTTCCCTGTCCTTTAACGTTTCCCGGAGGTTCCTCAAACTCATGTCCGTTGAGTCAGTGATGCCATCCAACTATCTTATCCTCTGTGATCCCCTTCTACTCCTGCCTTCAATCTTTCCTAGCATCAGGCCCTTTTCTAATGAGTTGGCTCTTTGCATCAGGTGGCCAGAGTATTGGAACTTCAATTTCAGCATCTGTCCTTCCAATGAATATTCAGGGTTGGTTTCCTTTAGGATGGACTGGTTTGATCTCCTTGCAATCGAAAGAATTTGCAATATGATCTTGGTATTAAAACTGTCCTGGTGACAAGTGGACATGAATCCTTATTGCCAGCATTGATTATGATTGAATGGTGAAGCCCATTAATGGTAGCCTCATGGTAGTGCTGGGAATAAGGCTCTAAGACCCCTTGGGATCCCTGAAGCTCTGTTCCCTGGGGGTGGCTCCTCCTCTCTGATCTGTGACCTAGATCGTAGCTAAAGACACGTCCCAGAGTGGAGTTACTGCCACAAGACCATTTAATCTCCTGATTTTCAGAAGCTCATATGGGCCCCACTAATTTTTTCTAATCTATAACAAATGAAAATTGCTAAAAACTTAGACTCATGGCATGATTAAGGCCCAGCATCACTATAATTTAGTGTAAAATACACGGTACAACCTGAATAACTAACACTAACAATTACAGTTTGTAAAGACTTCTTTTCTTGAAGTTTTTAAACCTCTGTTGAATAGAGAACATAATTTTATAGCTATTCAACAATTTCAGAATGGCACGATTGAATTCTCCCGTCAAATCATTTTTAAGTAGTCAGTATGTATTCCTATTTTAAGTACAAAGCTTTTAGTTAAAATGAACCCAACTGTCATCTGTGAAATAGAATACACTCTGGGTTTCTTTCTCTCACCCTGACTCTCACTGTCACAATTACTGTGCCTTATACATTTAACCACCATATTTTTCTTTTCTATTGCGTCTTTTACTTACTGAATCCAAACCTCACTTGTACCATTTTTAGTATAAATTACTCATCATTAATTTATGTTGGTGTTTTTGTTCATAACCTCTTGAACCATAAACAAACATATAAAACCATGAGTTCCTAAATAAAATCAATGGCAAAGCCAAAAAGTGGGCCAAATTAATAGTATTCCCCACTTTTCAATGCTGTTGAGGATACAGAGTCAGATAATCACTTGGCATGGTTTGCAGTGAGTGTTGTATTAGTTGCTCAATTGTGTCTGATTCTTTGCAACCCCATGGACTATAGCCCGTCAGGCTCCTCTGTCATGGAATTCTTTAAGCAAGAATATTGGAGTGGGTAGCCATTCCCTTCTCCAAGGGATCTTCCCAACCCAGGGATCGAACCTGGGTCTGCTGCACTGCAGGCACATTCTTCACTGTCTGAGCCACCGGGGAAGCAGTGAAGGGATGTAGGTAAAAGATTTGGACTAATGGGATCACCAGTGTCGAGTGTGTTCGGAAGATGCCTTTCCTGGCACACCTTTGACCCAGGAACAACAGAAATAGCCCAGAAAGCATGCAGTTGCTGGTAGTCTCACTGGGGAATTTTCAGACAGAACCAGGAAGGACTTCTAGCTCATCTGAAGATCTAAGAACTGGAATTTCGGGCAGAAAATCGAACCCTCAGCACTGGCTATAGACCGTGATGACAGCCAGTCCTACCTGTCCAGGTGAGAACTGCTTTTTATGTGCCAGCGAAGATGAAAGGGCTGGAAATGCATCCTTTAGCAGGGATGGACCATTCTTAGATAGATGAAAGGAAGAACTCAGGAGGACACCAGGAAGAGCCTAGAATTTCGGAGGTGACAGAAGGAAATTGTGGTCAAGAGCTGATGAGTGGGAGGAGAAGACCCAGCCTTTTGAGAAGGGCGAAGAGAGGTCCCACCGTAGCCGGGCAGCAGGCAGAGCACGTCCTGCTGAAGGCGGCCGGGGGCAGGGCTGAGCTCAGGGCAGCAGTGCTGGGTACCAGGGGGCCTGGATGTGCTCTAAGGAGGGAGGGACTGGGAGATGGCCGGGGTGGGGGGGTCTCTGATCCCCCACCTCAGGCGTGCAGGGCACACACACAACACCACACCTACTGCTTCTTGCAGCTCAGTGTTGAAGCCCCTCGACTCAAGTTCCTGCCATGTTGGGAGGAAGGAGGCTTTGCTGAGAAGCCTCGAGATGGTCATTAAAGAACTCAAAGGGAGACTTCCCCGAGGGTCCAGGGATTAAGACTCCATGCTTCCAATGCAAAAGACGAGGATTCGATCCCTGGCTGGGGAACTAAGATCCCACGTGCTGCACAACGCATGCGTGCTCAGCTGTGCCCAGCACTGCAACCCCATGAACTGTAGCCCACCAGGCTCCTCTGTCCTTGGGACTTTCCCAGCAAGAATTCTGGAGTGGGTTGGCATGTCCTTCTCCAGCAATGACATGAAGTCTTTAAAAAAAAACTGTTCACACATGTGTGAGCAAACTATTTGTCGTGGTAGAAAGGAGTCCAGGGCCTTGTGTCCTGGCGTCTGGAGGGGACCCTTGAACATTCTGAGGATGGTCAGTGGGGGCTGGGAGCTGCCGCTTAGTTAGTAGAGAAGAGCCAGTCAGTGTCCACTGTCATCTGCATGAGGACGTTAACTGGAAGTGAAGACAGAGCTCGGCCCTCCAGGAGGAGACCGCCTTGAAAATGACAAACATTATGAGGCCAGCGGGTGCCAACAGGGAGCTGATTGCTGGCCAGGTAGAGCTGGGTCATTGGAAGGTGAGCATGAAGACTGATAACCAGCCACCGGCCAAAGACACGTTCCTGTCCAGTGACCCTCATGGTCCTGTTAGGACAGGACCTCTCCTCTGGGTGCTTCCAGCCTCAGGACTCAAAATGTTTGAGGGCCATGGGAGACAAGAGCCATGGCTTCAAGTGGGCATCACCCTCCCCCAAACATTATTTCATGTCCTTTTGAAGTCATCTGGTTTTCGAATGTCTGCCTTGAGGAGAGTTGATGGCTGTCACACACACTGGAAGTGCTCCCTTCCTGGGTCTGCCGTGGGAATCATTGCCTTCTGCACAGGCAAAGAAATACTTTTTGCAGTGCATGGACTGGTCTGTCTCATCCGTTGACAGAACTTTTCAAGAGACTTAAAAAGATTTGAGATAGTGGACAGAGATGTGTGCCAGAGGGTAGTCTCTCTAAAGTGCGAACTCAGTAGGAAAAACAAAAATATGAAAGATTCCAACACCTTTCATCTGCTTTGTAAAGTAAGATGTTAAAAAAAAAAAGTGCAGTAAGTGAAGTCAAGTTGTCACTTCTCATTTTATACTGAAAATTGTGGAGGAAACTAGGCGAATGGGTAATAACTAAATTAAAACCTTGTTTGTCATCTCATCAGTTCCGATCTGTCAGCTTCGTTTAGTTTGAGAGATGTGTTGGAGGAAGTAGCACATTTCAAAAAACAAAACAGCTAGTCACCAGCTCTGAACAGGCCTTCTAGAAAGCAGAAATATGTCATCATCGCCTTTTCTCCCTGAAACAAAGCCTTCTGATTCAATAGATGCATGGCATCTTCTGCGAGACTCCGTGAAATGTCTGCTGCTTCCCCAGCATGCTTTTCTCCTCCCAAAACTTTTGTTTTTTATTAAAAGACTAGACCCCTCCATCCCCGGCAGCAGTAGGCTGGAAGAGAAGCATCTTTATCAGTGTCATCATCTGTGTTTATAACCAATTGTCAGCAAAACCTCAGACCTAAAGGACATTGAGTGGATAGACTTGAAGGAAGGGGAAGCAAGGGTTAGTCACTCAGTCGTGTCTGACTCTTTGCAACCCAATGGACTGTAGCCCTCCAGGCTCTTCTGTCCATGGGATTCTCCAGGCAAGAATACTGGAGTGGGTTGCCATGCCCTCTCCAGGGGATCTTCCTGACCCAGGGATCGAACCTAGGTCTCCTGCATTGCAGGCGGATTCTTTACCACTGAACCACCAGGGAAGCCCTGAGGAAGCCTTTAGTAACCTCCAGACCTCACTGAGACTTCCTGGGCCCAGCCTCTTCTGCCACCAAAGTGTCTCCCAGAGCTGCTCTCAAACTGATCCATTGATTTTCCTCTGCTTCTTCCCTGGTTCTCTGAGCCACCGGAGGAAGGAGAAGCCGGACCATAGCCACCAGGGACCAGCTGGGGCTGGCACTGGCTCAGCACTGCATGCAGGGTTTATTACAGTCTTATTATCCATATTTCTTGTTTGTTTGTTTCCTTAATTAAGGGTTTTGTTTTGTTTTCTGGCCATGCCTTGAAGCATGTGGGCTCTTAATTCCCTGACCAGGGATCGAACCTGTGCCC